CTCTTTTCTTATTCTCTCCCTTCTTTGATCTAAAAGCGGAGATTAGCATCTGTTGGAAGGTCATAAAGCAGGACACCTAACAACAGTGGAAAGGAATTAAAACTGACTAAACTGAGCCCTCAATATAATTAGAATGATCAAGAAACAACAGAAAAAGAACCATGTTTTTCTTATGGGATTGATTCAAAGCTACACAATATCAGGAGCTGTGCCAACCTGATCATCTGGACCACTTTATTTGGTACTGTCCTGTCACTGAAATGTTAAGGCACTTTCCTGCTTTCATATATCCAAGAAAGAAGCAGAGACTGGGGGGTCCCTGAAATGGTTTTTATATAACTTCTTTGAGAGAGAGTCAGGGAGGATAAACATAAGTAGGTAGGACAGAAAAAGGAGGGCCACATAGCTGGGGTTAGAAAAAAGGAAGGACAATGCACAAAAAGCACTGAGATTTACCAATCAGGTTCTGGGATGCTAAATGAGTTCTTCCTCACAGGCCATATTTGCAAAACAAGCAACATACTTGTACAATAGGGGGAAAGATCTGTAGAGAGTTGTACAACTAATGTAAAGGTTGAGCTTCTCTGGTGGTTGAAATCTATCAGTTACTTCCTGAGAGCAAGAAGGGCAGTATCCTTGTAAACTTGCTGGAGGGTCATTATGAGCCAGAAAAACTCACTGGTAACAAGAGAAAAAGGGAGATATTTGGAAAATAGCACCATGTAGCAGTTCATAGGGATCTTACCAGATGTTGCTCTTGTTTTTTAGCTGTATTCAAACTTCAACAGTCTACTTAAAACAACTAAGGCTTTTAAACCACAAGAATTTATATTTTCCATTTGTTACAGCTTTTGCTATCCATGAATTACATCAGTGTTACCTATTCTTTATATTTCAGTGGCTTCATTATTAAAATGTTTGAGGTAAACTATAGAGAATCTATCATTCTTTAAAAGTTAATTAGATTACATAAAAGAAAGAATTAGATTTGAATTTTTATCTTGGATTTAAACTTTCAAAAAGGATCCCAACAGTTTGCCTGTGGGCAATTAAAAAGAACATACAGAAGAGAAATGGGAAAAGAAGTTCTGTTTTTCCTGGACAATTTATGATTGAAAATGAAATTACAAAATATGTTAAGGAAATACGCTGAAGTAGGAAGCTAATTCTAAACTTCTCCTTTTTGCTCACATCCTTCATTTCATTGAGGAGAGTATCAGGCACATACATGATGTCAAAAGAACTAAAACATGACTTTAAATGAGTTGTAGTTGGTTTTGTTCAAAGACTGCAGGAAAGAAATCTGTTTCCTTATCAATAGCATGCAAAATATGGCTATTCATTTTCTAGAGTCAAAACAGCAGCAACAGAATTGTTTTTTTTTTTGTTTTTATCAATGCTAAATACAATAAACAAAGAGAAATAACCCAAGACCGAAGGGCTGAGTGACTCCAGTCTGCTCCTGACTTTCTCACCCTTCTGTTTGGCTACTCTAGACCTCCTTAAGTGACAATAAATGGAAGGTCTAGCTCTTAAAATTAGAGGTCAATTAGATACTTAATGACGAAGCATATCTTAAAATATATTGCTATTATTATTATCCTGGCAAAAATTAATTAACCAGGTCATAGAGGTCATAAAGGCTAATGTGCAAAGTAATCATTTCTAATCTTTAGACAACTACTTCACATAAAATGGTAGTCCTTCTGCTCAGCAGATAAGTGAAATACCTGTATTTAATCATATTAAATAAAACAAAAGGCAAGATTTACCTCCTTAAAAGGTGAGGCAAAATCCCAAATTAATCAGTTCAATAGCTTTAAGAACAATCAATTTCTTGCTTATATTATCGCCAAATTTAGCCTAGTGACGAAGGAGTTGAGCTGCTAACCTAAGGGTATATGGTTCAAATTCACCAGCTGCTCCATGAGAGACAGACAGGCACCGTCTTCCCAAGCACTTCATTTGTTGTTATGTGCTATTGAGCCAAGTATGATTCATAGTGCACCTACAGACAACAGATCTGAACCAAGGCCTATCCTTGTAATTTCTGAAGTACCTGAGCTCACTGCTATATGACTGTGTCAATCCAACTTGTTGATGGTCTTTTCTGGCCCTCCATCATTTCAAGCACATTTCTAGGAAATAGTCAAGCAATTTACAGTCTCTGAAAACCCACTGGCAGGTAGGTCAGCTATGAGACATTTCTGACTCCACAGCACATAACAAACACAACAATTTATTTAGCAAGGAGAGTATAGATTTTATGGTGCTGCTGCATCAGTTGACAAATACACAGAAACACAAAATATACTAAGAGTACACAGAAATATAGATGACCAAAACAAAATGCAACATACTAAAAATCCATAAAAATGTCCAATATCCATTTTGTCAGAGATAAGTATGCTTTCCGTAAGGAATATTTTTTAGTACTTGAAATATTCTTTGAATGGTATCAGACTGATAAGAGAAATACTGACAAGATACACAGCAAAGCAGTAGCTCAGGGTGGAATGAACTTTAATATAGCTCTTATTAACTTCCTGCTATTTTAAAAAACACTCATTTTTGCTACTGCATTCTTTCAATCTATAATGTGTATAACTGATATGCTGAATTCCTCTATCATTTTATTTTAAGCTGCTGAATCTACATTCTAGTGTCATTTGAATACATTTTAACAATTATAAATAACCACAAAATTTTTAAGTGGTTAAAATTCTATTATAGGATTTAAAAAACCCAAAGGTTCCTATCTTTAGAAACAGAATATTCCAATGAAGTATTACTTTAAGATTATGTTCTATATGTATAATTTATAGCAAAAGAAAATGTCGATTTCATTTAGTCAAGTTAGTAGTCACTAAATATGAATAACATTTAATAAAATAATTTAAAATTATTTGCATACTTTTTATCTGAATTTCTAAGAAAACACAAATTAATACAGGCAGTCAATATAGACAATACTGACTAAGAAGTGAAATATATTAGATATGAAGAATTAATAAAGAGGTAGAAAAAAACAATAAGAAACAACTGCTATGGGCAAAACTCAAGGAACTCCTTCCAGCCTTACTTTATGAAAAACAGACTAAATAATCAGGTTGTTTATTAACAACTACTTTTGGTGTGGAGAAGAGTACTGAACATATCATGGACTGCCAAGAAAACAAACAGGTCTGTCCTGGACAGAGAGAAGCCACGTTGCTCCTTAGAGGCAAGGATTTTGAAGCTCCACTTCACATACTTTGGGTATTTTGTCAGGAAGAACCAGTCCTTGGAGAAGGACATCACACTTAGCAAGGTAGAGGAGAGGAAGACCTTGAATGAGGTGGATTGACACAGCAACTGCAAGTATGTGTGCCAGAGACAATGAGATTGGCTCACGATAGGGCAAGGTTCAGAACTATTGTTCACAAGGTCACTATGAGTTGTAGTCAACTTGACAGCACATAAAAACAACAAATTCTTGAAGAGAGATATACAGAAAAATGTAGGAAACCACAGGCTAAAAATTCTGACCTTAGTGGTAGGAGGTCACTTATAATTCTAATAAAGGACAGAACAAGAAAACACTTGGAAAAGAATTTAATTCCGGATTCTAGCATGAATCATAAAAGAAATAGTTGGAAGAGTAATTATTCTAAGATCTAATTGTAAATGTTGACTGAAAAAAAGTGTCAAAAACATTCCAATTCTTCAACGTTAAAATTCATCTTTTGAGACATACAGACTCAGCATAGAACATAGAATTAAGAGCCAATAAAGCACCAACTAAAATATCCTAATAAGAAGATAACTAGACAAAACACAAAATTAAGTACAACTTCAGGCCCCACAGTGGTATTTAAAAGGCAGTGGTTACTACCTGGAATGGTATGCATGCTTTAATAAAATGAAGCAAATATATTAAAGCACTTTACTTTCACAAACATAGGGTAAAAGATTAGCATAAACTATAATTTTATGCCACTGATTTTTTAAAAAATACAGCACAATCTTATATTAACTTCAAGAAAGGAGTAAAATAATTCAGTACATGCTAGCCCAACTAGATTGAAGTAGAGATCCCAACAGAGTAGAAAAGAGCTACAGCAACCAAGAGAAGTAAGACTCTCTGGTGGAGAACATATCAATTTGGCATCAGTATTCCTGAGGATTAATCCCTAGACAACCAGTTTCTTATTCAATGACTTTCCACAAGTCACATGTTCCTATTCAGAAATGGAAACCACTTACCTTATTTATCTCAAAGGATTGTGGGCTTAATAGGTACCAAGTTTAAAAAAACAACAACAAAAAAACCCCATCAGAAATTATACCACATCATCCCATCCTTTCCCACTGTAACTGTTGTCTATACATTGCTATGCCACCATACACAAGAAAACGTGACTCCAGACTGTGTTGAACTACTCAGTGAAATGTCTTTTCCCCTCTCTAGACTGTAAGATTCTTGAAGACAGGCTCCTAGTCACTAATCTTTATATTACCCTCAGCACCCTGGAAAACATACACCTCATAGTAGAAATGCTTTTAGCAATTTTTTTTTTTGCTTTTTGCAATTTTTAAAAAGCAATTCATTATTATCATTCTTTTCCAAGGTCATAAAATATTCTCATAATTAAATGAAACATCCCTAAATATTATTAAGCTCTTTACTATACTTTCAGATGGTAAAATACAAAGCAAAGGTGGTTGTGCCAATTAAAAAAAAGCAAACCACCACTGTGTGCTAACTTGAAAAGGCAGTTTGCACTAGATTATTTTAAGCAAACTGCAGGAGGAAGGAAAGATAAGTTTATTCTGTTTATATATCAAAGAAGAATCCTTAGACCCCTAGTATATTTTTCCTATGTCCATTTATACAATTGTGTACAGTATCTTATTGATGTTGTCTGTAAGGCAGGGATACACTGACAACATTTTAAATTCCATTTCCAAGGAAGAAAGTATCTAAGTATAATCAGATGAGAGTAATAAAATACACTGACCTGGATCTGTTGCTGCAGGAGATTAATTTTGTGCTGCTGTTGCAGAAGTTGCTGCTGTTGTCTCGCAATCTATCAGAAATAAAGTTTCATTACGTTAAAATGAAATGTCCATACTTTTGCCATTACCTTGAGTATCTCTCCTGGTGTTGTAATGTTTTACTGCACCTCTATGTGAAAGAATTCTTATAAAATAAAGAATGAAGATTCAGAAAGTTGAGAAAGGAAATGTTTCAATCAGGTGTCATTTTCCTGATTACCTCTAAATCTTTATTTTGTAGATAAAAACCTACTTCTTGAAAGTAGGCAGTCTACTTATTTCTGTGCTAATCATATCAAGAGAATGGTAATTTGAAAATGTGTTCCTTGAAGAATGAATACAGAAGAACTCCAGGTAATGTTTCCTAAAGAGTTTAATTTGAACACAAGTCTGCAAGTAAAGATGACATATCCAATATAGCCTACTTTGGTGAAGTCTTATGCAAAGATTTTCAAAATTGATGTACTTACAAATATTATCAAAGTAATACTTAAACTGTATCCCACCCAAAAAACTTTAGCATTTGTTAATAATGTTGTATATAAAACACAATTTACTGCCAGTTAATTCCAACTCATAGCAACCCCCCATTAGGTTTCAAGGCTGCAGTTGGAGGAAACTGCTCTCTTTTACCATGCAGTAGATTCAAACTACTGGAGACGCACAGATTTTGGGTTAGCAGCACAACTTGCCAAGGACTACATCACCAGAGTTCCAAGGAAAAACTTAGCCTATAATGCAACATTTATTCATGTGTCCTTTAGGAGATAGTATTAACTCTCCAGTGTAGGATCTACATGTTGTTGTATACCCTAGAGTTGGAAGCGACCTACAGCTGACCCTTTGGTGGGTTTTCAGAGGCAGTTAAGTGATGAAAGTAGACTGCCCATCTTTCTTCCATGGAGCAGCTAGTGGCCTCGAACCTCATGCCTTTGAGATAGCAGTGCATTTTCTTGACACTAGGCCAACAGAGCTCTCTAGGATCAACATACTAGTTTTATACTCCCTTGCTTCATTATAAAAAAACAAAAAAAAATACAAATTGAACACCTTATAGACCAATCTGGTCTATTAAAAATATTAAGCTCTTACCAAATTCTTTTGAGGACTTAACTTCGTTAGGATAATAGTATTTACTATGTAGTCATGCATAAGGCTACTTAATGCCTCAAAAGCTGAAGGCTAGGGAGATACTCCTCAGTGAGAGCATACTGCTAAGAAAAGAAAATACTTAAAAAGGACTTGGTGTATACTGGTACACCACAAGCAAGAATTGTGATCTGCTTATCCTCTCCCTGCCCTTTCTCATTTCCAAAAGACAACAGGCTAGAGTGGGCAATATTAAAAGGAGTAGTACGTGTGATTCAGCCCCTTCTTATGATGGTTTAACCCTTTTGATCCACAGCAGAAAGAATCATTCCAAATATATTTCACCTATCAAAAAATGTCAGTGTGATGGTCTGCCCCTATGTTGCTTTATGGTTTCTGGTGGTGTTTGGCTTATACTGGAAACAATAATAATATTGCTCTTCCCATAGGTTATAGTATGAGAAATGTCACCCTTTCTCTCCAAATTAAAAGTAGAAACAGTGTTTAATCTTGTTGGAAAGGTCCATTCTGTCACCATTCAAATCAGTAATGGACAACTGTCTTCGCAGCTCTGGATATGGATGCTGGATCTTGTGAATATTTATTTCCTCTAAGCAGACTAGTGAAACATCACTAGGCATCTAATATTGATGGTCCCTCCTAAATGATAAAGTGCTGCATAGAAATGCATCAAAACACCACAGTGCAATTACTATCAGCCACTCTAGACGTATGGTTTTGACACAGTGAAGTATGGTATATAAGCACCATGTGGCTCAAATTCTGAATTTTATTTGCCAATCGGTTGAGCTACATGCTCGCTTCATTGAGCATGACAACCTAGTTTTAAGTGTCATTTAATTTTCATTTTGAAATATAATTACAAAGTGTTCACTGTAAGATATCACTCGTCTGCAAATGTGTCAAGATTAATTTGTGCTAGCTTATTCACAAGTGTCAATAGTTAATTACTGTGTCATCTCTGGATGGCTAAATGACATTCTAACTTCTGATTTTTTACAGTGTTCCTTTATGTTATTTTCCATTAGGGGCTGAGTCCATATTCCTACATGTGGGCAAATATTCAAGCATATAAAATACCAGACGTCACAACTCATTAAAATCAACAGAGCATATATTGCTCTATATATCCCTATAAAATACATTTAACTGAAAAGATAATTCCAGTAATAATGTCAGATTGCTAAAAACTGCACATTAATTTAAGTCTGTCTAATCTAAAGCATCAGAGACTACAAGATCATTGTTGTTAGATTAGTGAACTCTTATGAGACAAAAAAAAATCATTTGGAAAGTGATTTATCTTTAAAAGATGTACATACAAACTTTGTTGTAATTCTTCTCTCCTTTCTCACTTATAAGTCTTTCAAGTAAATTTTTACAGGAAATATACACCAGTTTTTTTTAAAGTTATTTACCTGCGATAGATAATAGACGATAAATAGAGCAGCTTTATAAATTATCATCCAAATGAGGACAACTTTTTCAAGTGAAGGCAGGGCAGGAAATGAATAATTACTCTGGATAACGAGCATAAACCAGAGCAATTCTGGGAAAACTGAGATGTATATTCACTCCAACTTTAAAGGCAGAGAAAGTAATTGAATCAGAGAACTAAAGATACTGCCAACTTTTTCTAGATGAAGAAAGTAAAGCCTAGGGAGGTGTTTGTTTTGTGAGTAAGGAAAGGCCCAAAGAGAATTGGTTTACTCATGGTTAAAACTACAGTGAGAATACATTCAATGCTTACGTGACTAAATATTCCTAAATAATTAATAAGATCCAATTGTTCTGAAACAATGCATCACTTGAATTATATCTGGTCATTTTGATGTCTGTCTTTAACTTCCATATATACCGTAAGTACTTTCAAGAACCTTAGGTTTCCAAAAGGTTTCTTTTTTTTTAAACCCCACGTTCTGCTATCTATCTATCTATCTATCTATCTATCTATCTATCTATCTATCTATCATTTTTTCTTTTAAGGAAAACTATGACAAATAAGCCAATCAATGTGATTCCTCGCTGAGCTTGGCACATTCCACATCTCCAGTTCGTCAGCTCCTTTTGTAGGCCTCACCTGTTCTTGCTGTTGGCGAGCAAGGTCCATTTGCTGTCGTTGTTTCTCAATTTGTGAGGCTGCCAGTTTTTTCTGTTCATCATGCGCTGCCAGAAGCTGCTCTCGTAAACTGATCAGCTGGGTAATCATGGTGGAGAGCTGCCGTTCTTTTTCTGCCAGGCTCTCAGGTGTACCTAAAATGAAAGCCAGATGATATCTCACAAGTGTGAGGAAAATCTGAAGGAATCAGAGAAAGAGAGGCAGAATTTAGAAAGGGCATAAGATACTTATAGACATAGGAAAACTGGAGGCCACCGTGAGTGTAGAGCACAACAGAAGCATTGCAGCAATGGACTGAATGCTAGCTTAGCTAGAACTACCCTGCCAGGAACAAGTATTGTCACCAGTAAGTTTCTCACTCTTCCCTCTTGTACACAGATTTGCAATGAGTCAGAAGCAAGAGTCAACTTTTTCTCTCTTGCCCTCACAACCACCAACAAAAAATTAGACATGCTATTCCCCCTCCCTCACCATACTCTCTCCTTGCCCGCCAAAGGAAATATATCAGATAGTATCAAAGACTAAAAGCTATGGATAATAAGCATTTTAAAAAGAAGAGATGGTCTTAAAAGTCTAATTACTTCTACTCTCAGTAACTAATAGTTGTTATGGGCTGACAAGTCACTTGAGCTCATAGCAACCCTATGTGAAACCGCTCTGAACCTTGCTCTATCCTGAGGAAACCTTACTGTATCTGACATACCTACCCCCATTACCTCAGTCACTGAGTCAATCCATCTCTTCAAGGGTCTTTCTCTCTTGTGCTGTTCCTCCACCCACCCAGGCATAATGTCCCTTTCTAAGAACTGGTCCCTCCTTACAACCAGCCCAAAGTATGTAAGACGGAGTTTCAGAATCCTTGCCTCCAAGGAGCAGCCTGATTTCACCCTCTCCAGGAGTCTGGCAGGCAGCACTTGAAGGTTAAAAAATTTTGGGGCTGAGAGCAACCATAGGAGACTTCACTTTGGCCTTTCCCAGCTTAGGTAAGGACAGAAGTCCCACAGTCCCAGAAGTCCAGCAGGCAGTGCCTGAGGGTTACATAGTTTTGGGCCCACGAGCCACAAACAACACTTCTGTACCAGATTTGAAGGATACGTCACCCTCTCTTGGGAAATTATTGTGACAGCAGTGTGTTGCAAATGGAAAAGAAGAAGGACTAAGCCACAAAAAGCCAAACCTGGAGCAGAAGCTCAAGGCAAAGGACTTTTCCTCAGAATCATCTGAGGAAAGAAACCCTTCCCTAATTCTAGTACCTGGAATTTGGACTTAGAGACTCCTACTAAACTCAAGAGAGACTGGTTGAAGCAAATCTAAGCCATACTAATACAATATTCAGTTGCATACAATTAAGAATAGGAAAAAACACAGAGCTGACTGACTCTCTGGCAGGGTTTTAGAGGCAGTTAATTACATGGAGGAGATTGTCCATTCTTCTCCCACAAAGTAGCTGACAGATTTGAACCACACGCCTTCGGGATTAAAGTGCAGCTTCCTGCCACTTACGGAAGTTTTTTGAGGATTTCCATAATAAATCTATCATTTCTAATTATTATAATTATTACCCAAGTATCTGTCTCTGAAGGTTAGGAGAGAGAAGTCAATCTCTTGTCTGTGGAACAAGATCTAGAAAAGTAATTAAAACTTGTACTCAAGTAAGAAAGGATTGAATCCAGGTGTTTAGTTTTGTTTTGCTCCTGTGAGAATATCATGTTAAAGTTCCCAAGTTTATCCTTAAAGGCGGTAGTGTTGCTTTGGGGTTCCCTCACCCATTCCTCATTTGTCATTCTTCAAAGGGAAAAACACATTCAAGGTTGAAAAGGTTATGCATAAGGATATGCTGTTTAATAAGTATGATGCTACCAAACACTTATGGTATGCACTAATGGTGCTGAACAGTCTTTTTATGGGCAAATTGCATAGCTCTCCTAAGTAAAGGGTACAGACTCCTTTTGTGAATCTAAATTAGAGCATTTCACCACAGCATAAGATTTTCAACCCAACAGACGTGAACCACACACATTTCAATATGAAGAAATGATCTATGTTTTGAAAGCTTTTCAGAAAGATGGCACTAGCTGTCAAAGGCGACAAAGATTGCTGAGCTTTGTCAGCAAGGGGAGACATACACCCTCTTAAGGAAAAAAAACAAACACACACACACAAAAATCCCAAAACTAAACACTCTTCTCTGCTAAGAAAGCACCAGGTCAGTCTGAGAAACTAAAAATAATTAGGAATAAACCTCTTTTTTGAGTGGCCTGATGGTGAAAAAGAGCCTTCAGAGGCTATTGACTAATATATGATTACCACAATTTAAGACTGATGTCAGCAGAGAAGCTATCAGATTTAGAACTACCTTGGAGTTTTTAGTGTCAAATGGAGTATAAAGAAACCCAAGACAATAACAACAGTCAACATCTCTTAAAGATTCACTGATCTGAATGACAGCCAAGACAACAACTAGAAGAAGAATGTAGTGAAATAATTTTTTTAAAAAAATGTATTCTACTGATTCCTTCCACTCAAGGGACATACAGATACTGTTCAAAAGTTCTTTATAGATACCAGAATTTCAATGAGCTTTCATTTCAGCCAAATTAAAGGGGGAGCCTCCTGATCTAGAAACATTAAAAACAAAAGCCATTTCTGGAGAGGATCACAAAAGATTTAAAAAATTATATCATATAGATTGCAAAAAGAATGAACAGGTATGTCTGCAAGAACACGCTGCCAGAGTGCTTCTTGGAGGCAAGGTCTTCAGATATGTTATTTGTTTTGTTGTGTGTCAGTCAGAGTCAGAATTTACCCATAGCTGACCTCCCATCAGATTTTCAAAGGCAATAAAATGCAAGGGAAGAAACTGCTCACCAATCTCTGCAGAACAGCTGGTGGATCCAAGCCACATACTTTTGGTATACACAACTTTGGTAGCACAATTCCTTACAACTAAGCCACTGGAGCTCCATACTGGGCTTGCTGATAGGAGGATCTGGTCTTTGAAAAAGGACATCATGCTTAGAAAGATGGAGGGTCAGTAAAGGAGAGGTATACCCAGCACAAGATGTACTGACAGAGTGATAGGCTCAAAAATATCAAAGCTGATGAAGATGGTCCAAGATAGGCCAGTGTTTAGATCTGTTGTTCATAGGATCACTATGAGCAGTACTTTACTTGATGACACCTAACAACAACAATGCATAAAAATCACAGATCTTTGGTGGCCTAGTGGCAAGAAGCAGCACTGTATTCCCAGAGATACATAGTTCAAATCCACCATATGTTTTGCTGCAGGAGGGGCAATCTCCTCCTGTACTAGTCAGATCTCATTTGACAGTACACACACACAGAGTAACAAAATAATTATTTTGAAAAAACAAACAAACAATGCATAAGAATCATTATTATAGGAATGAGAATTTACATAACAAAAAAAATCATGGTTTTGTTTTTGGTTATTGTTTTATTTATTTAACTCATTCTTAAATCAGTAAAGCATTTCTTGAATGGCACAATACTGCTACTATTGTTGGATACCATCAAAGTAAATTTTTAACTCATACTGATCCTCTGTGACAGAGAAGAACCTCCTTGGAGACTTGAATCTCCAGTCTTACGGGTAGCAGTTGAACTTCATTGCCATCAGGGCTCCATGGCAACATACTAAGAGCTAATGATATAATAATGAGTAAAAGCATACATGATCACTGTTGTCATGATGTTTATAAACAATGAAATAATTTTTCTTTTACTTTTCAAAGAGAAGAACAAACTGGAGTGGAGGGATCGACAGGGAGAAAAGTGCAACAATGAATGAATGGAAATCTAAAATCTCTGTAAATGTTCATTAAAATTGATAAAATAAAAAAAAAGTAGAAGGAGACACATCAATCAAAAGCAGTCATATATTTAAACATAAATGTAAAATAAGAATAAAAATAAATATTTTATGTGAAGTTTAACTGAGTTGGGGGCAACAAAGGCAAGGGAAAGAAATAAATTAACAGAAGAATGAAGAGGAATTAACTCAGTAAAGTGTTGAAGATAGTCAAGAAGTGTCCCAGAAAGAGGAAACAGTATGCACAAAGACCCTGTGGTGCTTTAATGTATGACCCCAGAAAGCATTGAACTTGCTCAAAGAAACAAGTGGTGTATATTACTACATTAGGTTACACAGGTGGGAAAAGACCTTATCATTCAGCCCTTTATTGACATGTTTGATAATCTTCATTTTTATTCTAAGAATAAAGTACTTTAAGGTGAGTGATGTAAACATTCTGGCTGCACTGTAGAGAATGAATTGTAAGTCTATCAGAACAGAAGTATGGGATAAATGTACATCTAATTCTATATACACACATATTGTATGCAATAGTATGAGATGTAATTTTCTGGTTACATCTATACCAAGAAGTAAGTGCATGACATAAGTAAGGATTATTGAATACTGAAAAAGTTATTGCCTTATAATTCTTTGTGAATGATAACATCATTCATAGGGAAATCTTTGCAAGGACTAATATAAGAATTGGACCTAAAATTTAGATCCTCCAATAAGGGTAGAAAAGCTTTCTTTTCACATAGGCTAAACAAACTTTTCAACAATCTTCAACCTCATCCTTTCTCTTTTGCACAAGGATTAGAGAAGTTGTAGACAACTGTGGTGTCAAAAAAATTGTCTTTCCTAGCTCTTGATTAACCGTTTCTTTTGTGCTGAAGTTTTTATGTATTAAGGCGATAGGATTAGGGTAGTTTCAAGCCCCATCCTACTGAAGGCTTATATAAGTCCATGAGCACTAAACACTAGCTCTCTTTTTCTGGGATGCCTGCTTTCCTGCTATACTACCACTGCCAGTCTACCACTTGGGCCAGAGTCTGCAAATCAGCCTGCATAACCACAGTCACATAAGCCGTTCTCCTCACAACTCTGAGTTTCTGACTTCAGTGAACCACTGAACTCAAGAGACATAGAGGAATGAGGGAAAATGAACAAAAGAAAGAATGTTGATGTCAGAAATCATTTACACAGCAAATCAAACATTTGAAACACTGCTGACTTCACACTTCTTGTAACTGGTGTGCTACTAATCTGAACAGAACGAATTATGAATATAATAACATAAATTACTTCTTAGTC